TGAGTCAGTTCGTTATCAGACTTCCGCTGCATAAATGCTCATCCTATATTGGTTGATCTTTGGTTCTGCCCATACTCATTGAAGTATGTAACAAGAACTGTGTGCACCAAGGGCCTGGTGGAAAGAGGCAGACCAGCGGCCAACAGAAGTATAAATCAAGAGGCAGCGTCCAGCAATTCATTCATTCTGTGGTGATCCTTGCAGAAGCGCTGCCAGTGCGCCTTGTGCTAGGTGGTCTGCAGGAAGCCCGAAGTTGAAGTGGGCAGTTGGCAAGATAGAGCGGACATAGCCGCTTGTAGTGCTGCGTAGGCAGCAGCCATAGCTGCGATAGAAAGTGAAGTGTCTAGTGTGTGTGTGTGTTCKTGTACAGTGAGAGAGTGTGTGCGCATGGAATATCCAGGGAGATCACCTGTGAGGTGTGAGCGTGCTTGTGTAAGCAGTGGGAGTACGGGTTGGCTGTAAGAGAGAGTTGGGCGCTTGGTCGCCATAGATAATCTGAAGTGAGTTTGTATCGAACCTGTGTTCTCGACTTGTATATCTCTGAGCTTTGTGTGGGCGCCTGGCGCCAGAATACTCATCATCTGTTTGCATGCATGCGGAGTGAGAAAGATAGCGAGTCTGATTGCAAATAAGAGGGGAGGAGATAAGGAGGAGGAGAGTCGTTGACGAGGAAGAAGGGAACTATCATTGGTCTTTGCTGGTGTACATCCTCTTCTTCTTCTTTCTTTCCCTCTCTCTCCTCTCAAGTTCATTCATTTATTTTTGCAATTGGACGACATTGTACTTTCTGATGACTGTGTACTTCGAAATTGGCCAGGATTATAACAGGTCTGTCGATTGGACACGTCGGGGGGGGGAGGAGGGGGGCGGTGTCGTCGCTGCCAACCGAACAAGACCGTACTTGTCGCACACATGTGAAGTGCCAAAGAAAATTTATTCCATTTTGGTGTTCAGGACACCAAAAGAGGAATATTATTAAGGGAATTAAAAGTAAAAAAAAAAACACTTTGAAGAGAACCTTCAGAAAAGGAAAAAAAAAAAGGATCCTGTTCTAGTCAAAAGTTGCGCAAAACAACATTTTTTAGACTCTCGCTACGGTTTTACATCATCTACTCAGCATTTTCGGAACTTTTTAATTTTTTTTTGAAGATTCCTTTTTTTTTTTGTGCGTGTGTGTGTATGTGAATGGTTTGGTCTGCAATCAAGCACTACATCTGTGGTACACTGAAAAAAAATGAAGGGCAAGGCAGGAACACAAAAATATAAAATTATAAATGTGATAAATCTACAATTAACTTGCTGAAAATTACGTGAAATAATGGTATTATTAGTATTATTTCCGTATTAAATTGTAGAATAATAAATAAAAGTTCTAGGCTGGGCCGCCGCCCGGCCGGGCGGGCCCCGGCCGGTTGGGCCCGGAGGGTTCCGCCCAGCAAAACCAGGCGACGCAAAAACACCACAAGGAATTTTTTTATTTTTTTTTGAAGGCGGGGTTGTGCTGTGCTACCCT